ACAGAAATAGCTCACAGTCCAGAGGTTAGGAAGTCCAAGATCCAGGTAGCAGCAATCTACATTTCACCCTGAGGTCTCTGCTCTTGGCGTTTGTAGGCAGCCACCCCTGTGTCGTGTGCTCACATGACCTCTTTATGCATTTTGAGGGACAGAGTGCAAGCTTTCCAGTGTCTTGCCTTAAAAGGATGCTAATCCTGACAGATCAGAGCCACATCCTCATGATCTCACTTAGCCTTTTTTTTTTTTTTTGACCTCACTTAGCCTTAATTACATCCTTAGATGCTTCATCTCCAAACACAGCCATAGGGGGCTGGGGCTTCAACATGTGAATCTGGACGCAACACAGACATCCAGTCCAAAACAGGACCTTTGCTCTCTGAGGACCTTGGAAGCAGATGTGACCCTGTGTCTTACTCCTCCCTGAGCCTGTCTCATGTCTATAGGTGAGACATGAGATGCACATATCAATAAACTTCTGTTCGTCTTTTATTAATTTGTCCTTTATTATGAGGCTTAGCTGAGAACCTAGGATAGAGAGAGGAAAAATGTTCTCCTCCCCTACCATATAAAGCACATGGCAAGCATGTGGCATGTGGTTAGCCCTCAAAAGGAAAACAATATTCTCAGCCATTAGTTTTTGATACATTTGAACACATTTTGATACATGGATCCCGAGCTCAGCAGGTTTTTGTCCGGGTTTCTCTTCTGTTCTGCTCATGACCCATCAATCAGAAACCACTCCGTGCAGCAGAGGCTAGGAAGTGGGGGAACCACACTCAATCACCAATGTAGAGTTATGGTTGTAACCCCTCAATGTGAAAAAAGGCTTCATCATATTCCCTTAATCCGAGTCAAATCCCCAGCTAGAAACATCAATGTCTGCACGTACCATTTTCATCCACACAAAAGGTATCTGCTATCCACTGGGGAGGAGAAGCTTCGCCTGGCTAATGAGATGTCATAGGCTACCAAAGTCCCAGAAAACTACCCTGAATCACTTTGTCATTTTGATTTAACAAACGTTTCAGCCCAGCGAGCAAGACTTGGAATTATAATTATGTCAGCATCTGATAATTAAATCCCCCTAATCAGCCTTCATGTATACTTTTCAACCAAAACAAGCACAAAAAATTCTGCACATGCCCTCAGTAGATTTCAGTGCTAAGGGACATATTTGGCAACACATGACTGGTACGTGGATGGTCATCACAAACCCCTCTGGTATCCGTGTCACGACATGAGTCACAAGGAACCACAGTGGATACAACACATAACTGTGGCTTTACTTCCTCAGAAATCGGCAGCAGTGAAAGATGCCTCATTCCCCTCTCCCGGACATCAGCAGGCAAGCAGCAGCCCCGCTGGCTTTGATGAAAGGATATGACACATGGTATGTGCTTAACACGGGGGACGGTCGTAATACCTTCTCTCTGACGTCAGTTCCAGCTGCTGCCCTGTGTCAGGCAGGTCAGCAAAGTCATCCCCCAGACGCTTTTCCATCTCTCCCTCCTGGTGCTGTGTCATCAAAAAGACTCAAAGAAACTCATGACTGTTTTTCTCTGCAGTTTAGGCCATAAACTTGGTTCTCTTCCTCCTTAGGCTTGGAGAAGAATAAGCCAGCATTTTTGAAGATCCTAGAGGAAAGTAAAGGCTCCCTCCCCCCCACCCCCACCCCCCACACCGCTTCCAGCCTCTGATGTGCTAAGATCTGAGAGATCTTAGCTTGAAGTCACGCTTTGGCTGCAGCCCGGCAGGTGCCCGCAGCATCCAGAAAGGGGACGCGAGCAGCTGCTTAGAGACTCGAGAAGAAATGGATGCTTCTCAGCGCCTCCTCCCCTACACTCACCCCAGACAACCCCCTCAGTCTCTGGGGGGCTCGGGATCAGAACTGTGCTGGAGGCAGCCGACGGACTTGAAACAAAACCCCTCGGTTGGAGTGGAGGCTTGCCAAGGCCGTTGCTAGGTTCCAGGTGGAGAAAACATTTGCGGGAAGGAGCCCGGCACTTGGGGACCCAGCAGCCCGACTGCGAGGAGAAAGGGGGACGCCCAGGGAATCCCACGGAGTTTTCTAACAACTGTCTCTCCTGATGAGCGGGGACATGTCCTGGCAGCTCGGGACAGACAGAGGAGGGGAGAAATGCAGAGAGGTTGCCAGCCTGCGTGGGTCCCCGGTGAGGGCCGGGCCAGCTCGCTGCCAGCCACCCAGGGGCTCTGCAGCCGCCCCAGCGGGCAGCTCTCACCTACCCACGAAAGGGCACACGAGGCACAAGCCTCTGCCGATAGACTCGTTTTAATCACTCTACAGATCGTTTCCTTTGCTCTCAGTGTGCCCACCAACGCTCTCACACAGAGCCCCCGGGAGTCATTCCCGCACCCCGTTTCTGCTCCCTTAGCCCAGAAGGCCGGGGTCCCCACTGGGGACAGCCACCTGCCGGGTGGCCTCATCGTCTCGTCCTTCCGCACCTGGCCGGCCTCAATCTCAGAGCGTGGGGCATCGGAGATGGGTCCAGGTCCAGAGCCGGCGATTCTTACGCCTGGTGTCGAAATGGGAATTGCTTCCCAGGCAAGAGCCTTTGCAACCACCCTTCAGCCACTGGCGTTCCCCAAACGGTTCTTTCAAAGAGCCTCGTTTCATGTGAGCAAGCATTTGCTGACTCACTCAGGGAGCACACAGCTTCCAGGAAGTTTGGTTGGCAATCCGTGCTGGCTTAAAAAAAAAAAAAAAAAAAAAAAAAAAAAAAAAAAAAAAAAAAAAAAAAAAAAAAAAAAAAAAAAAACCAAGGCAATTGTTTTTCCATTATTCCATTACCAGCTGGCAGAAAGGATAAATACCAAAATAGGAATTTCTCTTTCGACATGAAGTCATGGAGACCACGGTGAGACAGGCCGGTCCTGTTACCAGCTGTCCAGCTCAAATTATTTAAAATATTGCTGGGTTCGAGCTCACGAACCGTCAGCTGCACATCTTCGGCTCCTGCTACCTGCTGTATCGCCGGAGAACCGTTCCAAGGCCAGAACCCAAATATGCTCAGATGCAAAGAAATCAGCTCCAGGATGAATCTGATTATTGAAGTGACAAAGGTAGACTCTACTTAGGATTTCAAAATCATTGAAGTCTTTCCTGAAGTCTCATTTTAAGAAGAGAATCAGGCAACTGGGGCAGCCAGCTCCTGAGAGAGACATAAGGGGTGTCTCTTAGATCTCAAGACCTGACTTCCATATTTATTCTAACACTATTATATTTCTGTTATAACCTTATTAAGACAGAAAGGGAATGCAGGATATCCAAACTACTCATCCGCATCACGAAACAAACAACAGGGGAAAAAATTCAGTTTAGCAGAAAGCAGGACTTTCCCTTGCAGCCCTGGCCTGAGCTGGCTGCCCCGGAGCACAGACCAGCTGGAGCCAGACATCACAAACTCCTACCCGGACTCCACCTCCGGGCCCTTAGTTACGAAATGTCTAAGGGCATTCGATCCCAAGTTGACTCTTTCTTACTATTTAGATTTTAAGACCTGGCATCCGCTTTACAAAGGGGGTAAACTCTTCACCGGCAACTTTTGGAAGTTGGCTGCATGCAGGAATTCTGAGATATTTAGTTGCTAAGTGACATCAACCCACTTCTTAGCAAGTGCCCTAGAACAGTCTAGAAATGGTTGGGCCCTGGATTTAAGTTACCGGTTAGGAAAAGCTTGGAAACTCTCTGAAGATAGTAAAGAAACACAAGAAAAGCTAAGGAACTTGCTGGGCCAGTGTTTGATGGTGTGATCTCACCCTTGCAGAGCTGCCCCTCTTGCCTACCGTTGAGATGGATCTGGGCCCTCTAAATGGTTTCCCGCCACTTGCGGGCACAATGCTAAGCTTTGTTGGTAAAGGAGACAGGGACGCTGTGGGACAGAAGGGCGCTGCTTCCTAGGTCTGGGACAGTCGGCTCTGTGGGCTCCTGTGGGTCAGGTGGTGGCTGCTTCCCCGGCACCCCCTCAGTCGATCCTGCAGCAGAGTAACATGGCTTCCACATGCATCCTAGACAGCTGGCTTCCAGCAAATTCTAGAGGGTGGATTTTCAACAAGATCCATCAGCAGGGACCACAGGCACGCCTGTCACCTGCTGAGCCACAATCATTCCCTCTCCATCCTATCTAGGCTTCAGCCCAGGACAGGAGAGGATGCTCCTTATGGGCAGGGATGCTCCTTTTCTGCACGGTTCCTACCTGCATGCTTTGCAGTTCCTTCTCCCTCTCGCTGGCCGATCCCTTGTTCCTGCAGCTCCGTTATGGTAAATAGTCATATACATTGCACATCCCTGGCCAAGCTACCATGTGGTTTCTCTCCCCTGATTGGATCCAGACCGATAACCTGGTCTAGGGGCGCAGACTGCGGAGCAAAGCAGCTGAGATCTGAATCCAGAGTCTGCTCCCTGCTGTGTTGTTCTATCATCTCTGGTCGGTGGGTTCTGATACGATGTGCCCAAAGGGCGAAGCACCAATCCATCCTGGAGGGCAGGGCAGAGGGGATGGTGTCAGGACAGAACCCAAAGGCTGAATTTTTAAGCAATTTTCTAGTAGATACATAAATGAAAGGCATTCCTGAAAGGGGGCGGTGTATGCAGCCCTGGAAGGAGGGAAAGTGAGTGACATCCCCAGTCTGGGGACAGAGCTGCCAGTAGGGCTCCTGCTTAGTCTCCCCAACCTCCCCGCATTCTGGGGTGATTCCTAGTGAGATCAGAGGCCTTTGGGATCCTAACCCTCGCTCTCCAGTTTCCCTGTTTTCTCACCCCCGCTCTCTGGGGACAACCCGGGGCCTCTCTCTCTCCAGGGCCTCGGGGGGGCAGGGGCTCCTGACCTGGGTGCTGTGGTGGTAAGAAGGTGGCAGAGGAGTGGGTTAGAGGCCCCCACTGGCCGTGATCTCATTTATCAACAAGCATCCTCCACAGCAGCTTCACTCATAACAGAGAATACACAGCAGAGCGACATTCCCATTTTTGTAATAACCGCATTTATTTCCATTTTTGATAAAAAACTAGTTAGTTCTTAACTCCCCAAACACACATGTATAAATAATGAACATCGTCAACGTTGGAAGAGCAAATGGCAGAGCCGGGGCCCTCAGGCCACCTTTAGCAACACAGCTTTTGTTTTGGGAGGAGGGGGCTTTGCAGGAAACACTGAAGTTACCTATAATTTTTCTCCCACCGATTCTGCTCCCCTAGCTCCTGTGGAAACAGACTTTCTATCAATGGAGAGAAGCAGTCAGAGTGGGGTGGGGTAGTGAGGACGGCCCTGCCCACCCCGGGGTCACAGACAAACAGACTGCACGTTCCCGAGTCCCGGACGGAGCACCTGCTTGCGTCCACGGTCAGCTTCCAGCAGCACGCGGCCCACACATCCAGGGAGTTTTTAAACATCCTGGGTGCTGACCCAAAGTCTGGAGTTGGCTGAACTGGCAAATATTGGGACTGACACCGAAAAAGTGATAGATGCGGGTACCAAAAATCCGATGAACAAAAATAACCCCCTGGGATCTAGGCCCGTGGAACCGTGTAAGGCCTTTCTGCCTCAGTGGGAATGGTGGGGGCAAACATCAGAAGCCAAAGGTCAATTCCAAATTGGAAAAATGAGGAGCCTGTTCCTACCGGTTCACATCACGTGGGTCACCCCTTGATGGCCTGCCGACCCGCTCCCTCAAGGGTTACTGTTTCTGTGCGGTTTGGGTAAGCAATTCAGGAAGCTATGTTTTCCCTTATGGGTAAAAAAAAAAAAAAAAAAAAAAAGTGTTTCATATGATGAAGATAATGCTAAGTTTAATGCTTGATCCAGTGTTTGAAGTCATCCCAGGGCCAGGTAGCGGGTCAGCAGGGCAGCCTGTGGTTAGACCGCGTTCCTTTGAAGGAGCTGGTCCAGTAATTGCTAGGGAAGCAGGAGACAAACACGTCAGGTTCAGGGTCAGCATCTGCGCGCCACACACACGTCACACCTGCTGGCGGCCGGGCCATTACCTTTTTGAAGACCTCAGCGCGGAGTCGGTTACTCTGTAAGATCACTCTCTTCTTTTGTTCCTCTTTTTTCTTTTTAACTTCCGGCAAGTTATTATAGATTCTGAAACAGAGTCAGAAAAACCCTCTGAGTGGTGGCGAGACACCGTGTGTGCCTGTGGTGGGTCTGTGTCCTGTCCTGGCGACAGGCTCTTCCATTTCAAAGGCAAGGCCAGCTGCGGATGGGCCATCTCGGATCTGCGAGACGCCGAGTCCCAGGGCTGCCCCGACAGGCCCCAGGACGGGCCGGGGGGGCTGTGACGACGCCAACAGTCCATGGGTCCCCCCCCGCCCCGGGTCAGAGCGGGGAGGCCACCTGTCCGTGGGGCAGTCACTTCTCTGCCCCTCCAGTCTCTCTGAGATAATTAATGACTCGCTTGCATAAAGTGGGAGATTCCAAATCCGCCGCTTGGCCACTCCGTGTAAACTTGCCCCAGATACCTTTTTGCTACACAGTTTTTGGACACTTTCCCGTGACTTAGAAAAGGAGCAGGGAATAAATGGAAGTAGCAGGAGCCGTCCTGGAAGATCACACATGTAAATGTATGTCTACCTCTTAACCTGTTGCCTTCCCAATTCAAGTGCTTCCAGACACGTCTCAGGCATAAAGTATTGTGTTTTGGTCCTGGTGTAAAATCAAGAGTTTCTGAGTTACGAGCAGGGCCCAAGAGACCTTCTTCTGGACCCTTCTTTCCTACCTCTTAACGGAAACTGTTTGTGTACGGACGCCAAAGGATATTTCTGCAAGAACCCACAGTAGAAGGACTGCAGCTGAGCTCTGGGATTGCTGTATACATGGCACTCGGATAAACGCTTTTTTTTTTCATTTTCTCTCATGTCTGAAAGCCAGACAAAATTTGTTTAATAGGTTCTACGGTTACAATAATAACTAATGAATAAAAACATTACTGATGACAATATTAGCAGCTGACCTTATCCTGGTTACTGAGCATGAGGCTAATCGCCTGGCATAAATGTTCTCAATCCTCACAACAGTTGAAAGAGGCATGTTGTGTCCTCCAGAGTATGATTTTTCCCCGCATTTTCCCCCTTTCTTTAAATTTAAGCTCAATTTGCCGGCATATAGTATAACACCCAGGGCTCATCCCATCAAGTGTCCTCCTCAGTGCCCGTCACCCAGTTACCCCATTCCCCCCACCCACCTCCTCTTCTGCAGTCCTTTGTTTGTTTCCCAGAGTTAGGAGTATATTGAGGAAGGCAAGCCCCAGCGAGGATGGGAGACTCGTGTAAAGTCCCTCAGCTGGCTAAGGGTGGGCTGGGATTCGAAGCTCGGACTCTCTCTCTATGCACTACTCTCCCCAAACCATGTAGCATAAAGTGTCTGGGAAATTCTTGTTCCACTGATATGGTGTGAATGAGTAAATAAACACACACAGTTTCCATGTCCAGGAACTATCCTGGAAAGGGCCAGGGATGTAGACGATAAGGAATCAGTAGGAAGCTGAATGTTCCAAAGCTCCACAGTGGAAATCCCTTCAGATGCAGAAGGCCGTCTTCTGGATACGAACCATCTGAATCGTGTGGGCAGCTTAAGATAAAAATTCCTAGGTGTCACTCCTGGAGTGTCTGATGTAGTATTTTGTTAAAAGGGGTTCCTAAATAAATTATGGTACATCCATACCATGCCCCACTCAGCAGAGAGTGAGAACCAATGAGAAAAATCATCTATGCCTGTATCTTTTGACACAGAAAGAACTCACATGTCATAAAGCAAAAAAAGTAAGCTATGGGAAAATAATTTATATGGTATGACCCCATTTATGATTTAAAATTAGATAATTGTAGATGTACAAATAAAAGTCAGTTTCCAAGCAGAGAGAAAGGCCAAGAAGAATACACAGAAGGTGATAACTGTGGGTCTCTGGGGAAAGGATTGGGCTCAGGGAAGTGGGGTAGGAGGTAGGAGGGGGAGACAGTGGACTTAGACTTCAGCTTTTTCTCTACTGTTTGAATTTTTAAAATGAAAATGTGATTTAACAATACAACTAAAGACAAAGAATACAAAAGAAAAGAAAGGTCCATTGTGATTGTGAGTGAGTGAAGTCTGAGAGCCAGGGTCAGAGCCCACCCAGGATGTAGTGAAAACCCAAGTACAGACTCCATCCAGGGCATACACCATAACCTAGCTCCTGCATCCTCCCTGAGCCTTGGTTTCCTCTTCTGGAAAGCCACAGGGCGATCCTGTCGACCCTGAATGCTGCTTTGAGATCTAGCATTTTCATTGCAAGGCTCTGAAATAGCAGCTTTGGGTTTAGGGACCGGGAGGGGAAGATTCAGCTGAATTTTCTCACAAAATTGAAAAAAGAACACAACTCTGCACTTCTCAAACAGCAAGTCTGAAAACCCGGTGGCCCCTCAGCGCCCCCAGTTAGAACGCCGTGAATCCGTGAATCAGGTGGCTAATAAGATGCTCCCCTTCTTGTCACTTCCACTCCTTGACTTACAAAGGGCCCCCCCCCACGGCAGATGATCAAAGTTGGCCAATTATCATGGAAACAATTCGGTCATGCTAAAAGCAGAGATTTTTTGTGCCTGGACTGTGGAGAAATATATTCTTCCTATTTCAGCGGTTTTCCTAAGCTTGCTATCAATTGGGTGTAATTATTAGAGTACGTCCCAGTGCTAGATACTTTACTATAAACAAATGACATTTTACTTGCATGAACTTGGCCAACACTACTGAGTTCTTGCCTTTTGGGTAGGAGGCCAGGGCTCAGAAAGAATGGCCGCCTTTGTGTGCATCAGGTCGGTGAAATTGTGGGGGTCTGGAATTGCAAGCAGCCAAGCAGAACAGGGGAGTTTGCACCAGCAGGGCCGCCAGGCCCGCCGGGGATGCAGCGTCAGGAAGGCCAGCGTGTGGCCCGCGGTGGCTTTGCTGGCTCCCATGTGCCACAGGCTTCCAAGTCTGGACTCTCTTCTTGCAGGCTCTGCCACTGTCAAGGCCCTCAGGAAAAACCGCCTCTCTCCTCATAAAATCACCTTCAAAGGTACATGGCGACACACATCACCTGCCCACAGAGACGATGAGCGTGTGCAGAAGCATTCCCATTACGAGTCTGGGGGTCTCTTAGAGACCAATTACTGGACCAGTTCAGAATCCAAGACCCACCGCTTTCCTAAGGCTTTTCCAAGGACGGCATTAACATTCAGAGGTGCAATTGGACAACTATACTTCTCTTAGCCAGCTTTTCAAACTCACGGCCAAGAAGACCTCAAGACATTAAAGTTGGACCTGGAAATAGTGACTCCTCTGGACAGCGCCTGGACGCATCAGACTCCCTCCCCCGCCTCCCCCCACATTTTTCGATCTCACACAATAACCAAGTACCTTTTAGATCGCATGTGCATCTCCTTCTCTGAAATGTACCTTTCTTTGGGTTTGAACAAGTTATCTGGAATGAAAGAGAAAGAGGATTAATTTTGGAAGGTGTGGATACGGCACATTCTAGAGAAACACTACAGTGGACTTAGTACACACTTTGCTATTGATCCTCAGTCTAAGCCCTGCCCTGCTGCAGATACTGCAGGACATAGTAGACACTCAGACACCGTAAACGGTTATATTAAAATTGACAACCAATAGATTGGTCTTGGCAATAAATACCGTCATGAAACACAAGGTTACCATCTAACATACTTTGCAGACAGTGACCCTTGCATGTGCTCAGATAGCAATAGTCACGGTGCTTGGGGGGGGGGGGGCAGCACCAAGGATCAAATCCCATGTCGGGCTCCCGGTGCATGGATCCTGCTTCTCCCTCTGCCTGTGTCTCTGCCTCTCTCTCTCATTTTGTGTGACTATCATAAATAAATAAAAATTAAAAAAAAAAAAGAAACGCTAGCATTTAAAAAAAAAAAAAGAAAATGTGCTTAAGTGTCACCCTGGGTGCAGGGCCCTGGGTGTCAGGTGAAAGATCTCCACACTAGGCTCTTGTCTCAAAGGACAAGGACATCTCCCTGCTATCATTAGAGCATTTCGAGAGCAGGAGTGGACACTCACAACCGGAGCCCTCGGTCAGGGACACTCAACCTTGGCATCCATTCTCCTGCAGGACTACCCACTTCTAATCACTATGAGTCTGGAATGTTTTTCATCGTAAGTCCATATTACTAATCACAATGATGCTTACAGATGGCACACTTGAGTGTGGTATGTATTTTTTAAAAAAATAGTGAATACCCTCCTGCAATAATTCCATCTACCACAAGGCTCTTGACCCTAAAGACTGGCCAAGAGTCTGTCACACAAAAATCCTCTTGGGGTATGTGTTGCATGGAGTACCTCTGAGAAGCTTCCACACTTCCTGGAACACCTGGATAGGGACCAGGTCCCCTCCTCCACTGAGCACAAGCAGGCAGACACCTCAGCATCCTAGCTAAGTATCACAGAGTTGAAGTGGATTCCCTGTGATCCCCAGTGAAGACCTCACATGTTCCTATCAATCTCCTCCATGGTGGGCCTCTCCCCCCACTCAGCGCTCCCGTGGAGTCACGCAAGACCTCTCAGGCTTGCAGAATTCTCCACGAATATACACGAGGGTGGGGTAGAGACAGGAATTCTAATGAATTTCTCCCCTCTAGAGAAAGAAAACACAGCTACTGATTTACAAACTGGAAACAACAGGGTGGCTGAGCTTGTAGTCTAGTTATTGAACATGAGTGGATAAAAAATGGCACCATTACTTAACTTCAAAGATAAGATTCCAAGGAGGAATAGGAGAGGAGACAAAAGAAAAAAAAAATCAGAAGAATTTTCCCAGCTAAGAGAAAACGTCCCCAGTGTTTGGAAAGGCATGAGAGAAAGAAGCAGTCAACATCACCATTGCGCCCACCCTTGGCTTTCGCCCCAGAAAGGAAAGCTTCAGAAACATCCCGATGACTTTCCCAAAGACATGGGGTGTCACCTTAAGGCGACCAGGTCTTGGGAAAGCGGTTGTGTGACTTTGAAGACTCCCACTCAGGCCAGGAGAAGGAACCTCTACAAAAAATTAAGAGTTAAGCCTGGATTAGCATTCCTTAGGAGGGACTGGAGATTAGGGCGTGGTCAACCCAGACAGATAATGGTGCTCCCAAGGAATACAAACCTTATAAGCCGTATCTGTGATATTTTTTATAATCTTAATCCAATGGTTTGTGGTGTACTCTGGGAAATTCTTTTTTTTTTGTTTTGTTTTGTTTTGTTTTTTTAAGTTTATTTCTCTAGAGCACCTGATATCACAAAGCAGCTTTGGTTTTATTTCCAAGAGGAAACAAAAGCAAATGTGAGCTCTTTGGCACCTCCACTGTTTTGTTTTCTGAGCTCTTCGTGGCCTGCTGTGCCTCAGCAGGAATTGAAATTCAGGGCCTGCAGCCCACATTAGGTGCAAAACAAGTAGGTCCGGCATCCAAGCCGGCCAGGCCCTCCTGGGCTGGTGGGCTCCACCCACACTCTGGGAAAGTGCTCCTTCGTTGCTGACTTAAAGGTTTCATAACACCACCAAGCCCATCTGATGAATAGAGAGACCAAAGAGAGAAGCAGGAGTTCTTGGCGCCTGAAGGAAGTTGTTTGAAGTAAAGCAAGTGGCTTGCTGATGGCTCTCAACCTCACCAGAGTACATAGAACTCTATCTGGCTCTCAGAGGGGGGAAGGAGAGGGGGGAAATGGCACATCAGACATGGTGGGGGGGTCCTTGTTATTATTGATAACAATACTCCTAGCATTTATTGGATGCTTCCCTATGTGATCTTCATACCAACCCTGTGACTTGCTCATGATTTTCCATATTTTAGGATTGGGGAAATCTGAAGTCAAAGGGCTATTTCCTGTTCAGGTTCATGAAGTGAAAGAGTGAATGGCAGAGCTGGGTTTCAGCCCAAATTAGTCCAGCCCTGTCCACACATGCTCTTAACCTCAGAACACTGCCACCGACTCGTATTGCAGAATCCACATACTGGAAGCACTGATAATGCCAGTCCACTTCCCATGAGGCCAACCCCAAATGTGTTTCTCTTGTACTCCTTCCTCTTACATCTAATGAGCAACTACTACATCACCAGGGGTTGCTCAGAAGAAAGAAAGGTAAGATCCTACCATCATGAACCTCATTTGTTCACATAGATCAATGGAACAGAATAGAGAACCCAGAAGTGGACCCTGAACTTTATGGTCAACTAATATTCGATAAAGGAGGAAAGACTATCCACTGGAAGAAAGACAGTCTCTTCAATAAATGGTGCTGGGAAAATTGGACATCCACATGCAGAAGAATGAAACTAGACCACTCTCTTGCACCATACACAAAGATAAACTCAAAATGGATGAAAGATCTAAATGTGAGACAAGATTCCATCAAAATCCTAGAGGAGAACACAGGCAACACCCTTTTTGAACTTGGCCACAGTAACTTCTTGCAAGATACATCCACGAAAGCAAAAGAAACAAAAGCAAAAATGAACTATTGGGACTTCATCAAGATAAGAAGCTGTTGCACAGCAAAGGATACAGTCCACAAAACTAAAAGACAACCTACAGAATGGAAGAAGATATTTGCAAATAACATATCAGATAAAGGGCTAGTTTCCAAAATCTATAAAGAACTTCTTAAACTCAACACCAAAGAAACAAACAATCCAATCATGAAATGGGCAAAGGACATGAAGAGAAATCTCACGGAGGAAGACATAGACATGGCCAACATGCACATGAGAAAATGCTCTGCATCACTTGCCATCAGGGAAATACAAATCAAAATCACAATGAGATACCACCTCACACCAGTGAGAATGGGGAAAATTAACAAGGCAGGAAACAACAAATGTTGGAGAGGATGCAGAGAAAAGGGAACCCTCTTACACTGTTGGTGGGAATGTGAACTGGTGCAGCCACTCTGGAAAACTGTGTGGAGGTTCCTCAAAGAGTTAAAAATAGACCTGCCCTATGACCCAGCAATTGCACTGTTAGGGATTTACCCCAAAGATTCAGATGCAATGAAACGCCGGGACCTGCACCCCGATGTTTCTAGCAGCCATGTCCACAATAGCCAAACTGTGGAAGGAGCCTCGGTGTCCATCGACAGATGATGGATAAAGAAGCTGTGGTTTATGGAATATTCCTCAGCCATTAGAAACGACAAATACCCACCATTTGCTTCCACGTGGATGGAACTGGAGGGTATTATGCTGAGTGAAGTAAGTCAATCGGAGAAAGACAAACAGTGCATGTTCTCATTCATTTGGGGAATATGAATAAAGGTGAAAGGGAATATACGGGAAGGGAGAAGAAATGTGTGGGAAATATCAGAAAGGGAGACAGAACATAAAGACTCCTAACTCTGGGAAACGAACTAGGGGTGGTGGAGGGGGAGGAGGGCGGGGGGTGGGAGTGAATGGGTGACGGGCACTGAGGGGGACACTTGACGGGATGAGTACTGGGTGTTATTCTGTATGTTGGTAAATTGAACACCAATAAAAATTAATTTATTAAAAAAAATGAACCTCATTTGTTGAGGGGTGTGTGTGTGGTATTTAAATGATTAACAAACCAGCCACAAAGTATCAGGCAAGTGCTCGGAAGGAAATGAAACGTGATCACATGGTAAAGGGGGGTTGGGGCGGTGAGGGGAAGAGATATTGAAACCAGAACCCAGATGAACATAGGACCAGCTGTGGGAGGCTCTGGGAGAAGGGGGTCAGTGGGGAGAACCAGCGAGGGCCACAATGGATGCAGTGTGAGGGAGGGAGGGCTCTAGGCATGAGGCAAAGTCAGGCCAGCAGATGATACAAGATGAAAGACAGCACCACTACCCAACCCCCTGCCAGGCACACCTACTGAGAGCCCCCGGGGACTGTGAGCACCGTGCCCGAGTTTGGACACTGGAAATGTAAACCAGAATCTCCAGACTATGCTACTGTGCACCCAAACTGGGAACCACCTGTACTGGGTTTTGTAAGCCAGCTTAAGGGGCTTTGCAAGCCTGGTAAGGAGCATTTCTTCAAAGTGAGAGAGAGATAAATATTTTTTAAAAGGGGGGGCACCTGGGTGGCTCAGCACTTAAGTGTCTGCCTTTAGCTCAGGGCATGATCCTGGGATGGAGTCCCACATCGGGCTCCCCACAAGGAGCCTGCTTCTCCCTCTGCCTGTGTCTCCGCCTCTCTGTCTCTCATGAATAAATGAATAAAATAAAAAAAAAAGTGAGCGAGATGGAGAACCACGTGGGGTTCTAACCAGGAGATCTGATTAGTGTTGGTAAAAGCTGGCCAGCGGCTGTTCATAAACAAACTCAGATGGAAGAGCCACAGATAGGCCCTGGGGAGGGAATCAGGCACCTGGAGGGGGAGCTAGAGAGGGCAGTGCTCCGAGGGCGAAGTTGGTGGGCTCTGGCTTCACCGACACTGCCTGTGGGCAAAGCGAGTG